CTTTTATCGTGTTAACATAGCTCCATTAACATTTACCTGCATCACGTTACCGCGCAGAAACTTTTCACAGTTGTATTACTTGCATTTACTGTTCTTCTTTCCCATTGGTTGTTTGTTCTGTTGTTTCTGACGTGCTTCATATTTATGAGTAGCAGTTTGTTCAACTATCCTTTATTTATTGTTCGTTGCTTTTTGTTTATTTTTTAATTAACGCGCTCAATCACGTTGCTATAAATAGGCGTAAAGGAATACCAACAGAAACCTACTTAATTTACGATTTAATGGATTCACTTCGTTCCCCGTGTGCGATGATGCCCCACGCGTAAGGCGTCCTTCACCGCCATTGTCGTATTAAACAGGCCTGGGGTTGCTGATTTCGAGGTGGAGTTGTACAACCTATCGTAGCCCAATGTCTTAAGGCTTGGTTGTTCATTTTATGCAGTCGGAACAACTTTCATAATTTCTGGATGCAGAAACCACAGGATTCATCATCCGTTGTGGTAGAATTCGGGGTCTTTGATCTCTCTGCTTGGTCCCACCATGTAAATTCTTCAGACGACTGTGAAGAACTCTTCAACCGTGCATCTTTGCCTGGTGCAGGACCTCAATTTCCTGAAGAGTAATGAAGCCTGCAAAATCTCACTGTACTCGTGCTAGATGTTTCCCGTTCTGAACAGTCGTCATTTCGCAGGTTGCAGTTTTTTTTCTTTTGAACAATCTTGCTATCCAAAGCCAACCTTACTCTGCGCTCAATCTCTAGGAGGTTTTCACCGCTTATTCGATCAATACCTTGTATTTACTTTGATAATATCTACAAATTAATATTCAATTCATCTGTGAATACTAATAAAGTCACAGTGCAACTGACATGGACGAGTTCCTTTTAAGTTTTTTGATCATATCAGTGACGATCGGCCATAAGTACGTTGAAGCGTCCTCCCTCAAAAATTACCGCATACGTTGACCTAGACGGTGGCTATATAATTTGCTCGCGCTTGCGTACGATTCTACAGAAATGGCCCGTTAAGCTCTTTAGTTTATCCATTCATTGTTTACGCATCCATGACATTGGGAAGACGGTGGATGTCCACCTTATAGGCACTACGACTAAAGTTGACTGTGAGGGTGTGCTGCTGAATCAGTGCGAAAAAATACATGCGATTAGCTGAAGGCAAATCTGTTTTTTTTTCCCACGTTGACCGTTACTCGAGGACGTCCATTCACTCGTTTATTGAGCTCAGAAGACAAATGCATTCCTATCGTTTGCTTGAGGCGCAGACAGTGCGAGATTCCTGTCAGGATGCCAATGCTGACGAAACTAAACCAGTGTTATTGAACATCCTGTAAAGTAAATAAAATTGCATGTACACATGCAAACGAAGTTTGGACCATTCTGAGAGGACTGGAGGGGTCAACTTTCTAGCAGTACACTGGCCAAGACACGTGGACTTGGAGAAAAGTTCATGAACAGCATTGGACTCAAAACACCCATGCATGCACACGCTTTGTTATTATCCTTCTGAGGTTTCGCTTCGAAATCGTGTATGCACCCTGTTTTTATGAAATTCTCGGAGTCGGCACATTATATCATCCCTCTCCTATCCACCAGTCCACCATCTGCGCTGGTCAATGTCTGATTCTGGAATGGAGGTCAAGTGGCCGGCAGAACCGAACAAACCGCCCACGCCAGCAACACACTGCCTGCCCCCCCTCCCCCTCCTCCTCCTCCTCCTCCTCCTCCTCCTCCAAATAACCATGATTTCACACAAATGGGTAAGATGTTCGGGTCACACTTGCGGCAAATGCTATAGAGGGCATTAGGCCTCACTCCCAGTCCAAGAGCCAGTAACCTCAGATTCACATATTGTTCGGCCCACGAAGACCGAGTCGGACGTCAGTCTTTCAAGCCACAATTCGTAGTGCGTTTTGATAGGCTTAAAGGGCATAAAATTTATCATAACAAGGAATGTACTGACGCATCGCGGGATGAAATCTCCACTGCCGGTTTCACTATCACCCTCTCCTCCCCTATGCACCAGTCAGAGGCTGTCTGTCATTTTCTGCTGAGATTCATATATGCACATCTTACCACGGTGAAGGGTCTCTTGGGATTTACTGTTGTGTCAGTTGCATCTTTTTAAATAATACTGGTATGGAGGAATAATCATCCTTAGGAATGTCAGCTGGTCTTAAGTTCTGTTAGCAATAACTAGATGAAGCGTTTGGCCGAGCGCTCAGATATACTTCATGATTTGGATATTCAAAGTTAATTTCCGGATACAGAGACTGTGCTGCAATTCTGGAGAGACTATCGCCTTTGCTCCGGAATGTCATGACATCTAGACTGCACCCTAATCTCGTCGATTTATTGACGTTTTTGAGCTCCAATCTCGTTTCTGCTTCCGTCGTTTGCTTATGGCACAAACAGTGCAAACAGTGCTGGCCATGAGATTTTCTCCAAGTCTACGTGTCTTGGTCGGTGTACTGCTAGGGAGTTGACCCCTCCAGTCCACTTAGAATCGCCCAAACTTCGTCTGCGAATGCACAGAGAATTTTTTTATTTTGCAGGATGTTCAATAACACTGGTACAGGTTCGTCGGCATTGGCATCTTAACAGGAATCTCGCGCTCTCCATGCCACAAACAAACGAATTTAATGGGTTGGACCTCAGAATTCACAAAAACGATTGAATCAGACACTGAGCACCAGCCAAAATGAGATAAAATGCGGACTTGCCTTCAGAATGCTAGTCCTTATTCTACACCCAAAACACGCAGGAATCGAATCAAATAAAGCGTGTTGAGTGATCGCTAGCTGCACTCACATGTGCGCGACGAGTCCTATGGAGCTCCTGTCTCTACCAAAAGCGAAAACCTCCCAGTTCGACTGACTAACTCCTCTGGTTGAATGATCAGACTTGTCAGAAGAACTAGGTATAGGCTCGAATCCCATCAACGTGATAGTGCAACGACGACTGCATTCGGAAGGAGCCATTAAGCAAGTCGTCTCGTTCTGATAGGACCGATTTGCTCAGTCAGTTTGCAGCCTTCGAAGCCCTGAAGTTTGGCTCGTCATGAAAGATGTAAGTAGATCGGATTTTTGAATTGAGGAATGCGTTGGAGTGCTGTGGTAATGGATTCCGTAGCGTCCACCTTACCGTTTCTTCCTTCCTCCATGCACCATTTCACTGTCCGAGTCGGTCAGCTATATGTTGCTATGGGATGGAGTGCAAGCGGTTGGTGTGTTGTGAAACCTGCGCCTAGTCTGTCATCGCACCTGCATTTTGTAGGACATTGGTTACTTGATGCATGGATTCTGCGCAGTCGCGATAACACCAGCCGTGCCCTAGTCTGAACGTGTTTTGATTCATCGTGTCTCCAACCTGGCCCACTTTGATGGCCCTACTGAATTACGGTTTTACAGGACCAAACAAGCGGCCTCGCGGTCCAGATGAGTCCTTAAGGCGAATATGGCAGTAATAGCGTTTAATCTTCCCCTGGATTTGTTGCTCTGCGCGGGAATTCGGACAGATGCATTTTTGGCTGAGCATTGATCTTTAAATTTGTTCGTTGAGGACGAGAAATCCTCGCACTTGCTTCATTCAGAGTAAGGACACTGTTGAAACTGCACTTTAGTCTTTTAGCTAGTACACGTGTTGACTTTCCGCTGGAAAATTACGGTCACTGTAAGCTGGCTAAGTATGTGGGCTTAAGTGCAACCGTTATTTTTCCGTTACAGCTTCTTTATAAGAACAATATTCAGACATGGTTTGCGGTGATGGGTAAAATAGCCAATAAATGGAATTACTTTCGACAGATCAGTTCTCAATTGTACGTTATTTCTTCTAACAGGAGCTTGCCAAGTCAGACAGATTACCAAATCTCCCTCCCCATCCCCCCACACATACACACACGCACACACACCGACAGTCCGACCATCGATTTCGATGATGTCCACCGTGTGCCACACAGCAGGTTGGAGCAGGGACGGTGACTTGCGCAGGGGTTTATAGTGCCAGTAGACTTGCGCTGCATCTACCTGCACTCTCTCCTCCTCCCCCGCCTGGGCCCGGTGTCAAGACAGAGTCAAGAAGACCGGAAACAAGGGAGGCCGTAGGTGGATGGCTCGGACGGATCCTCACCTTGGCGTTCCACCACACCCCCTGGTCCACACAACAATAACCAGGATTTCAACCAACAACAGAGATTTGGAGGCTGGCACGGCCGAAACCGCACCTGGGCATGCCGCCAACGCCTGGCTCGGATCCCACACTGTGGTGAGAGTGCCATAAAGGCCACATTAAAAAGGAGCCATTGCAGCCTGACCCTCAGACCGCCTCCAGTTAAGGAGGAGGACCAAGTTACCCCGTCAGTTGGCAACCTTCCAAGCCACGGCTTTTAGCGCACCGTGATAGCTTCAAGCGCGTCAGATTGTTTATAGTGAGGAAAATGCGCTGAGTCGTCGACCTCACTCTCCCTTCCCATCCCCACACCCCAGCCGCTGTCCGAGCCGGTCAGCAGACTGGAGTGGGGAATGGGCGCGGTGGCTGACATGGTCGACTGACCAGGCCTGCGCGCGCCACAGCACGACCTGGCCCCCCATACACACACAAACACCAGGATTTCAGACAAAGGGGGTTGAACGGCGTGTCTCTCACTTGCGTGAGAGGGCCGTGGAAGGTGCTGCTTCAACCCATTCCCTGCCCACCAGTCCGCCACTCCACACAGCACAACGCAATGAACTGCGTGAATCGAGAGCGGGCGTCAATCGGCAACCTTCCTATCCACGACGCTTGACGTGTCGGGATAGTTTCGGACTCAAGTCACCCCTGCAGCCGAAGACGCATGAGAACCGAGTCGAGATCCACACTTCCCACTTGCGTGGGAGATGGCAGTTGGGTGCTTGCGATGGGTATGTGTTGATGTGTGGTGGGGTGAAGGCGGTGATGGCGGAGGAGGAAGGTAGGGAGTGAGTGAATGTGCGGTGTGGCCGGCAGTTGTCTACCGCAGGTCGTCGTGGATGCGCATGTGGCCGAATAGGCCCATGCGATGCGTGAAAGTGCGAGGGCAGTGTGGGCAGTTGAGTCGAGCTTGGTGGGTATAGGTTGGTGCTCCAGGCACTGGTTCGCCAGTCTCTGTGCGATGGATTCGCAAGTGACCGACCAGGCCGATACGTGAGGTGAATGTGCGTGAACAGTGTGGGCATGAGAAGTCTGCGGTGTCAGTGTCAGCTACAGAGGAGGCGGCGGCGGTGATGGTGGTGGTGGTGGTGGCGCAGACGGATGGAGCGAAGGTGGGGGTGTGCACGGTGGATGTGTTGGATGTGGTGGGTGTGTCGGGACTGCGGTCAATGCTGCTCTCGTGGATGCGCATGTGGCCAAATAGGCCCATGCGATGCGTGAAGGTGCGAGGGCAGTGTGGGCAGTTGAGTTGAGCTTGGTGGGTATAGGTTGGTGCTCCAGGCACTGGTTCGCCAGTCTCTGTGCGATGGATTCGCAAGTGACCGACCAGGCCGATGTGTGAGGGGAAGGTGTGGTCGCAGTGAGGGCAGTTGTAGACCTGATCCTCATCGCTGGAGACGGGGAGGTGGTGGTGGTGGCGGTTGTTGCGCGCGTGATAGTCGCCTGAGCGGCCGTCGTTGGAGCAGTGGATGAGGATGAGGGAGAGGAGGAGGAGGAGGGTGGGAGTGGTGGTTCAGTGCAATTCACAGAGTTACTTGGCGGCGGAGAGGAGGAGGAGGCGGGCGGGGCACGATAGTTGGTGCAATTCGAGAGACGCAGTTGATCCGAAGATGTCCAACAAGTCCGATTCGAGCCCGGAATGTCCGTTGACATCGAGGACACGTTGGAAGCGGTTGTGCGGCGGCGTTGCTTACTGGGCGAAGTTGTGATTTGCGGGCTTCACGTTTCGCTTTGGCGGCAGCGCTGCGGTTGGCTTCGTAGATCGCAGCGCCTGTCTTCACTGCCCTCCTCCATGTCGGTCGATCGAACGCGAGCTCCTCCCAGTTGGTCGGGTTGATTTGCAGGCACTTCAGGGAGGACTTCAGGGTATCCTTGTAACGGCGAATTTGGCCTCCTTGACGGCGAGAACCCGTCGCGACGTCTCCGTAGAAGAGTCGTTTGGGTATTCGCTCGTCGTCCATGCGCACCAGGTGGCCGTTCCAGCGCAGCTGCATTTGTCTCAGTATGGCGTAGATGCTGAGGATTCCCATCCGTTCTAGCACATCAGTGTCGGGGATTCTATCCGGCCAGTTCAGCCTCAGGATGCGACGAAGACAACTGAGGTGGAAGTGGTTCAGTCGGCGTGCCTGTTTTGTGTACACCGTCCAAGTCTCCGCTCCATACAGTAGCTTCGGCAGGATGACGGCCTTGTACATATTCAGCTTCGTGCTCAGTTGGAGACCATGACGATTTTAAACTGTGCTTTGGAGGCGACCGAAGGCTTGACTGACTTTCGAGATCCTGTTAGCGACTTCGTCGTCGATCTTGGTGCTGCGGGAGAGAGTACTGCCGAGGTACGGGAAGTTCTCCACCACTTGCATTTGGGTTCCGTTCACGCTGATTTGCGGCGGCGCGTTGGGGGCTGTGGCTGAGTTGGGTGGCGATTGGTGCATCACCACCGTCTTCTGCGCGTTAATGACCAGACCGAAGTTCTCGCAGGCGGCGGAGAATAGGTCCATGCTCCGTTGCATCTCCTCTTCCGAGGTGGTGTTCAGGGCGCAGTCTTCGGCGAAGAGGAGTTCGTGCACGATGGTTGTGGTTACGCGCGATTGGTAGTGCATCCGCCGCTGATTCAGCAGGTGACCGTCCGTCCTGTAGGCGATGCGGATTCCAGGGCGTTCGTCGCGGTAGGCGTCCATCAGCATGACAGAGAACATAAGACTGAAGGGGGTAGGCGCCAGTACGCAGCCCTGCTTCACGCCGTTGGTCACTGCGAATGCCTCTGAGACAGCTCCGTTGTCCGTGACTCGCGCCATCATACCGTCGTGCAGCTGACGCACCATCTGAGTGAATCGCTCCGGGCAGCCTAATTTCTGCATGCTTTTCCACAGTCCTTCACGATTCACCGTGTCGAAGGCTTTCGTCAGGTCCACGAAGGTAGAGTACAGGTGGGTCCGCATCTCCTGGCACTTCTCCTGAATTTGGCGGGCTGCGAAGATCATATCCGTGGTCCCACGATGACGACGGAAGTCGCATTGGCTTTCCGGCAGAAGGCCCTGTTCCAGATGGTTATTGAGGCGGTTGAGCAGGATGCGGGCGAAGATCTTCCCGGCGATATTCAGCAGGGAGATGCCGCGGTGATTGTCGCAGACTTGGCGATTCCCTTTTCGCTTGTATAGGTGCACGATTGTTGCGTCCTTGAAATCTTGCGGGACTTCACCTTGACGCCACATCTCCTGGAAGAGCGCAGTCAGGTGATCCATCAGTTGGGGACCACCATGCTTGTAGACCTCAGCAGGGATTGCGTCCGATTCGGGTGCTTTCCCGCTGGAGAGCTGCTGCACGGCCATGATGATCTCCTGGAGAGATGGAGGGAGGTCGAGGTCCACGTTGGTCTCCACTTGCGACAAACGCTCGATGGCGGCGTCGGAGATGGCGGAAGGGCGGTTGAGGACGCCTCGAAAATGCTCGGCCCATCGCTGTTGGATTTGCGTCTTCTCAGTCAGGAGAGTGCTGCCGTCGGCGCTGAGGAGAGGAGCAGTGCCCTTCGTCGGCGGACCGTAGACAGCTTTGATCGCAGAGAAGAAGTTCTTCTTTTCGTTGCGGTCCGCGTAGCCTTGGATCTCCTCAGCTTTGCGAGCAGTCCAGGCGTCCTGCATCTCGCGCAGACGTTGCTGAAGTTGGCGGCGACTGCGGTAGAAGGCAGCTTTGGTGGCATCAGTGGGGTGATCTACGTAGGCTTTGTGTAGGCAGTTCTTCTCAGCAATCAGATTTCTGATGGCGGCGTCGTTGTCGTCGAACCAGTCCTGGTGTTGACGGGGAGCGCGACCAAGGACGGCGAGTGCCGTCGACTGGACCGTGTCTCGCAGTTGACACCGGTTGTTCTCCACGGAGGCGTTCTCGGCAGCGGCGACTTCGGGGGCGGCAGCGATTGGAAGGTTTTCTAGTCGTTGAGCTAGCTCGTTGCTGAAATGAAGATGGTGAGCGGGCAAAGACAACAAGGCAGTACTCAGCTTACCTGTGGGTCGCTTACCTTGTTGTCTCCTGCGAGGCTGTAGACGAATACGCATCTCCGAGATGACGAGGTGATGGTTGGTGCACCCGTCAGCACCCACGATCGTCTTCGTCACCAGCACGTCCCGCTGATCCCGCCTCCGGACGAGGACGTAGTCCAGCAGGTGCCACTGGCGCGACCGAGGATTCCTCCAGGTGGCCTTCTCTCGCCCCGGCAGACAGAACAAGGTGTTCGTCACGATGAGGTGGTGTTCTGCGCAGGTGCGGAGAAGCAGCAGGCCGTTGTCGTTGGAGCCGCGGAGACCGTGGGGACCCAGAACTCCCCTCCAGGTAGTATGGTCTGTGCCGACGCGGGCGTTGAAGTCGCTAAGGACAATCAACTTGTCCGCCTTCGACACAGTCGCCAAGAGGGCGTGCAGGTCCTCGTAAAATTTGTCCCTTGCGGCGGCGTCGGGGCTGCTCATCGGCGAAGCGTAGACGCTGATGATGGTGGCGAATTTGCCTCCCCACCCCGGAGAGGTAGACGGAGGCTCATCAGGCGATCGTTGATGTCCTGCGCCAAACAGGGCAGTCGTCCCACGATGTCGTTCCGGATGGCGAAGGCGACGCCCGCGTCCCGTCGCTCTGCCCTGGGTCGACCACTCCAGAAAAAGGTGTAACCGGCACCCACCTCCTTTAGTTGGCCTTGTTCGGAGAATCGGGTCTCGCTGAGTGCAGCGATGTCCACCTTGTAGCGCGCTCGTTCTCGCGCCACTAGCGCCGTCCTCCGTTCCGGTCGGTTGCTCCTCGGATTGTCTAAAAGGGAGCGAACATTCCAGGCTGCCAGAGTGAGCGGGCTCACCCTGCCAGTCTGGCGACTGCGGCGGCGAATAGTAGGAGTAGGAGAAGAAGAAGAATAGGCTGGAAGAGGAAGGGAGTGATTGTTGTTGTTGTTTCGGTTTTGGCTGTTTCGACCGTGTGTTTTCTGTCTGCGGCCACGGCCAGCCTACAGACAGCGTGGTTCCCAGCGATCTTTAGGGCACTTTTTCTAGCCCACTCCCCTCGCGAGTGCAGGCAACGCATCCCTGAACAGGGCTGCCCTGTTATCCCAGACGGCTGCCGGACTCCACTATGGGCCACGACTTTTGTTAGTGAGAGAACGACCCGAATTAGCCTGGGACCTTGGTGGTGATGGTGATGTGGTGGAGTGAAGTAGGAGAGAGCATACACACAACCAAGCGCTATGGGACTTACAGGTAGCTAGAGTGGGCAAACAGACACAGTCATCAGTCAGAGACAGAAGTGAGAGGGCGCCATTCAAGTGTCAAGGACCGTAACACCTAGCTAATAACAGAGAGAGGCATAGACTGACAGACAGACAGTCGCAGCAGGCAGCAAGGGTTTCGTGTAGCTATTAACAGATAGACTAGCATAGAGAGGGTAGGCAGCAAGAGCAGCATACGACACGGAACTTCAACAGACAAAAGGAAGAAACAGAGCAGATGCACTTATCTGAAGAAGAATTTACCTGGTGGCCTCCTGCGATGGTCCAAGCAGAGCCTCGTCTCGACGATGTCGACGCGAAGATCCATCCGGCCAGCGCAGACCGCAATACCGCGCGTTCACGTGCACGCACGGATACCCTCACCTGGTTTAGCCCGCCGGTCGAGACGGTTGCCCGGGGTGTGGCCGCCGAGCAGAGCCCAGCTACGTGGAGCCACAGATGAGAGTTAGGTGCCAGCAAGTGGACGCTAGGCGTAGTCTCACCTGCAGGCAAGTGAGCGACCACTACGACCATCACGTGAACCCACCGCTGACAACCCTACACCCGACACATACACACACACGACAGTTGGACCATCGATTTCGATGATGTCCACCGTGTGCCCAACAGACTGCATTGTGGGAGCAGGGACGGTGACTTACGCAGGGGTTTATAGTGCCAGTAGACTTGCGTAGCATCTACCTACACTCTCTCCTCCTCCCCTGCCTGAGCCCGGTGTCAAGACCAAGTCAAGAAGACCGGAGACGGGGGGAGGCCGCAGGTGGATGGCTCGGACGAATCCTCGCCTTGGCGCTCCACTCCGCACCCCCTGGTCCACACACGAATGACCAGGATTTTGACCACAAAACAATGGAGTGGTGGCAGTGGTCCAGTTGTGCGACGAATGCTGACAACAGGGTCCGCCAGCGCACCCCGCAAATGTTGGCATTTGTTATTACGCACAGATAACGCCTGCCAGAGTCCTATGTGGCCCCCGTGTTGGTCCAGCGCATCTAAAACGTGGCCCGTTTGGAGGACACACACACAATGTATTTCCTCAGCAGAATGCTATTGTCCGTATTTGCAGCATAAACATTATAAAAATGGGGCAAGGTGTATTTCAGTCTTCCATGTTCCCATCAGGAAATCAGGTGGGAGTGTGTATTTAGCTCATGAATAACAACTGCTTTAGTCTTGACAGATGTTAGCTGACTATGAAACCTCGTCAAAACTTTGTTTTAGTGTCGTGTCTACCCTACTCGATTGACCATATTTTCGGCCATTTTTCCTGTGTGCAGTAAGTACCGGTAGCCAGTTCACAGTATTTTAAGCGCCTGATTATACTGCTTCCAGTAGACCTGAACACTGCACCGATATTCTACACAACAGAAATTTGGTCACGAATACTCAAACGTCATCTATTTATTTGTTAAAATAAAGTAATTTCATTTTAAGTAAACCACACATTGAACGATAACTGGGCAGCAGTTTTTAGCCCAAACCCCGTTGACTTTGGACACCAATTGCCAGCTGTCGGAATTCAAGGTAGTAGCGCAGGTCAGAGACGACTATTGCTGATTCCGAGAAAGCAGTAAAAACGTCAGCTAAAGCGAATAGAGAAATTTTGATTATCTCTCATGCAAATGAGTTTCATAATCTTGAACGTCCGCTGTTTTCTGGGTAGAAGCAGCAGGAAAGTGATCATTAAACACGGGGAAAGAGGACATTGGACCACTGGAGTAAGAAGCCGAAACGTTTGGCGTGTAAGACTCTGAGTCCAGCGATCGCACCTTCTTCATGAAATCCTTCTTGGGACTCGTTTTTACGCTACTGTCGCCAACCGACATGTGCTTCATGAGTTTGGAGGGACGAATATGTATTTTGACGACAGTCTACGACGTGGTTTTAAAACTTCGCGGTATCATCTAAATTATCACAGCAGCCATTGCAAACAGAATT